GTATTTTATATCTACAAAAATGTTGGGGTAAAAATGGGTAGATGAAATAGATGATGTGCGATAAAATGATGAGAGGCCTTGATGTTTACGATGATCCAGTCATCTACCAGAGTATAGATGACGACCACAGACTATTCTAGACAGTCCAATGGAACGCTAGCAGACTCACAACTTGTAGGTGTTTGTGAACGATGTATTCACCAGTGTACTCCATCCCCCTCATGGTTGCCTTACGGACATTTATTGCTGAGGAAACCCCTTAGTAGTAGTGTCCATCTCGATGACGATCCTTAGGCTATGTCTATTATGATAGGTGTTTTAGGGACGTAAAGTGAGGATAACGGGGATAGATAATTGGGTTGATTGATGTGATAAAACTAATAAACTATTTATTGTGGGTTGAAAACCCTATGTGCTCACCAGGCTCCCAAGCCTAACCTACCTTGTTTCTTGTGTTACATGTAGTGGCATAAGAGCATAATTGGATGACTTGATGAAGGATTATGGATTATAGGCTAGTAGATATAAATAAATGTTATAATGCTTATAATGTTATGTTTATGTTTTTGATCTGTATCGAACATGATATCCCAAGGTTTTAATAAAATGAAATATATTTATTCGGAAATGCTTTGATAAATCTTTATCATATTTTCTTTTGAGAAGAAATTCCGCAACACTTTTCTTTAAAATGTTACTTTGATTTTCAAACAAAGCATAGTCAAATCGGTCTTTTCTGGCTGTGAAAATGGGGATGTCACAGTATTTTGGGGGAGCTCACTAAGGTTTGTGCTTATAGTTTTCAATTTATGTTTTAGGTACTTCTAGCTCGAAAGGGAATGACCCGGCTTGATCGCACTGCATCCACCCATGTTTTCCGTATTATGTGATTTTGGGATTTGTAGTATGATATTACTATACTATGATACACTTTTAGTTGTTTGACATGATTACCAAATGTTTTGAAATTAATTAAAAATGAAATTTTTGTTTGAAAATTTTGGGTCTAGATATGAGTTTGAATGAAAGGTATTTTAGGAATACGCTTTTAATATGAAGATTTGGGTTCAGGCGGAGTCTGTTGGGCGTACCAAGAGGTACACTACGCGTACTAAGTTAGAGTCTCGTGGTATTGGATGAGTTACGCCCAACGTTGTAGCTGAGTACGCGGGGCATACTTAGCTAGCTTGACTTTCCCTTGACTTTCTTGACTTGTTGACATTGACCTTTGCCCTAGGGTTTGAACAAGTTTGACTTATGGGCATTTTGGGTATTTTATGTTGTAGTTTGAGTTTAGGTCACTGTTTGTTGTATAGGTGACCTGTAGAGTTGACATTTGGAGCAACGTTCTTTTGTGTTATATTTTCATACTATGAGGTGAGTTTACTCACTGTACTTGTGGATCAAAGGTACCAATGCCAACCCATTCGGTTATGTATCCTGGTATATAGGATGCTGTTATGTTGTAGTGATCTGTTAGGTTTATATGATTATCTGTTTGCTGGTTATATGTTTATCTGTTGCATATATTGACATTGTGTGATTGGGTTAGGCAATGTCGCTTTGTGTGGAAGCTAACAAACCTGGGAGTAAGGCAAACATAAGTTGTGGGCCGGATAGGCAAGTCAGACTTATGTTGTGGTCTCGGGAGCAATCCGGACATGAGTTGTGGGCCAGAAAGGCAAGCCAAACTCATATTGTGAGCTAATGGGTAATCCAGTCCGATGGTTGTGGGTCTAGTATGCATGTTGTTATATGTTTGTATGGTGGTATTTTGGAGAACTCACTAAGCTTTGACTTATGGCTTAAGTGTTATGTTTCAACTATTTCCGATGATTAGGGGCAAGGCGAATGCGTGATCATATACATCCTTCAATGACATGTTTTGGAGATTTTATGATACTATGATTTTGGGATATTTGTATTTGACATTTGGTTTTGGCTTGAGTTTTGATTGGAAACAATGATTTTACCTTAATTGAAAAAATAAAAAAAAATTATTGTGATTTTTGGGATTTTACAAAGACCCACCTGAATCGTAAAACCAAAGATGCACAACAACACTCTCACTCGTTTCATTAAATAATCCTACGAATTAACTATCACCCAACAAAGAGGAATCCTTAATCAACAACACAAATCCTTCAAATTTGACCCAATGTCAAACTGGTCAAAAGTAAACGGTTAACGATCAAAGAAAAAGGTTGGGTTTTGAGTTTAAAAGATGAAGGCTCAAGAGAATAACCTAAGTCATGATTTAAAGCCTTTAAATATGGAAGAAACTCTAAAATCATGGATTTGAGCTGCAACCGCGACCACATCGTAGGCACCATCTCGCTACGTTGTGGCAAACAGTCAAACACGTTCTTTATAATTGATGTGGCCACGCTGTTGCAACATGTTTTTCTTAAAAACTTTATATTTGAAATCTTTAAATCTTCATCTCATCAATTTCGAAAAATTGGTGTTACAAAGGTGCTAGAGACACTTATTGACAACTAAATAATAACAATAGAGGAAATTTAGTTTTGAAAATCTTAACAATTAGTAAGCAAGATAGATCACATATGAAACAAAATGGAATCATACCGCCAACTTTAGGTAAAACAAAAAAGTTGGATTAAGGTGATGTTTCGATTGCTTATTTAAAACATGTTATGGTTTTTTAGTAACAAACCATAATAAGTAAAAATATTACGAGTACTTTTTAGTGTTTGACAAATGATGTTGTTGTGTGTGATTAAGAAATAACTTATCGATTTTTTTTAAATAAGTTAATGAGTAAGAAGCAAATAACTTATCGAATGTTTATGAAATCTTTTTATCCTAAAATTTTTGTAACGGATGTCAAACACCAATAAATCAATAAAAACTCTTAAATAAGCAATCCCAAAACACCCACCCTTAAAATTGCAATTTGCATCATATGATAGAACCGAACCATATGTTTTATTATTCACAGCACATTTTTATCTCATTTGAATTTTGTTTACAATTTTACGCAAAATACGTTATAAAAAAAAAAAAAACTGATCACATACTTTTAACGGACGGAGGGTGTATGTGAGCCAAAAACTTTGTAATAACTGAAATATTTTGTAAAATAAAGTCGAAGAGAACGTGTTGACTTTTCATTACTTGGACCTTAGAAAGAGAAGCGTTAAACCCAGCGGCCCTTGACATTTTCACAAGTCAATGCAAAAAAACACAACTAGAGAAATTTCCGATATTTGCTCCATGATTTTCCATTTCTTACATTATAGCCTATGAGGTTCTAGTTTCACACATTCGCCACAAACTTTTTTAACTCCTTGCCATCTCTTCTCATTTCAAATTTTGTTTCGTTTTTTTTTTTTTTTTTTTTAATTTTTATGTCTCTTTCATATAAAAAATACAATAATGCACATGTATAGTTGCATTTTGATTTAATGTTTGAAATGTCCTTTTTTTCATAATAACGAAGTAAACGATACATATGCACCAAAATTAACAAGTAAAAATAAAGATTGGAACCATATTAAACTGATGCAATTTATCAGCACAATTAAAAAAAAGTGTATATTTTTGGAAAAGGATAAACAAATAGCAAATTAAATAAATGTTTTGCTTTGTGATTCTTATTCCAAATGACTCTCAAATTGAACTTTTTAATAAAAGTTGCATCTTTTGCACCTAATATCTCAATGTAAGTGCTATATATACGTAATGAAATATGGTAAATTGATATTCAACTTCTACGTGACATAAATAATCATTTGAATAAACAATCAAAATACTTTGATATAAATAAAAAATAAGATACTTTGGTTTACATATAAAATAAGATCAACGATACACAATACATTTTTATATGGTGTATTATTAAAATTTATTTCTTCATGCAACATCTTAAATAAGTCGTATCCGTAATTTAATAAACTAAGATGCAAGACAATTGTGAGCAAATGAGAGTGTTCATGTAAGTTTTTAGGGTATTAGAATATCAATTAACTAGGATAATTTTTATGATTGTGATTGCAATCACTTTTCAAAATCTATGATTTCAACCCTTATATATGGGGTATCACGAAATCTGATTTGATATAATCCAAGAAATACAATTTTGAAAATCATGTCACTTCTAAAATCAAAACACAGAAATATACCTTGCTGTTTTGGGTTCTGTAGAGATAGAGAGAACAAAATATAATTTTCGTGTATATGAGTTCCAACCCTTTTTTCTGGAACCAGATAAATGTTCTTATACTAGAGGGAAAAGAGATTATGACGGTTGCCTCTAGATTTGGCGCCAAAACCGGTAGTTATTGGACCCCGTTAGGGGCGCTGCCCCTAAAACCCGCTAAGGGGCTGCAGCTCCTTGGAACTCTGCACTTAGAGGCGCTGCCCCTGGACACCCGTATTACTGAGTTCATAATTATGATACGGTTCTGGTATCATACCTAAGGCCGCCTCCATGACCAGATCCTTTAGAGACACTAGAACAAGCCTTTGTGACACTCTTTGGCACATTTTACTATCTGTCCCTAATACCCTCGCATGGAAACACCCACATCCTTGCTGCCATGTTGCCTACGAATTCCATATGCCATATTATTAGGATTTATTGTATTTTATTTACTTATTTTATTTATTTATTTTCTAACAAATGTAGACTAGCGGTTACACCAATGTTTCTCATTTCCTAGTTTTTAGCTATTTACATTGTTATTTATATAAATGTAATTGCTTTGTTTTGAATAGAGAAGAATTTGATGAAGCTAATATCTCTTTCATGTCTTATTTCTTTGGGAGATTAGCCATCTCAAATTGGCATTATCTTGGAGACTGACCATCTCGAATCGGTCTATATCAATGATGCTTTCATTCCCGTTCATCTTGCCTCCCTGTCAAGATCGGTCCATGCTACCAATGTTACACCGCCAAGTATCCGCGAGCAACTCTCCATACTCATCGACGTGTCCACCACTAATGGTTGGCGTCTTGATGTAGTTATCACACAAATGGACACCGTCAACACCCTCATCGACATTCAAACCGGAACCATGGTCAGACTCATCCTGACTCCACCTTGGCTTCCACCACCGAATCAGCAACCACGGTCGTCGCCACCGACACCCCCGCCGTCACCAATCCAATTGAAGAAACCACTGTCGTTGCCCCCATCACCAAATGAACCGCTCCCACAATCGCCATTGACAGATAACTATAGACATCTCCTACATCTCAAGCACTTTTTCCGGCTGTTCGACCAGCGATTCTCCATCCTTTTTACTCTCAACATGTACTTGTTGGACCTCGAGGACGAGGTCAATTTCAAGGGCGGATGAATTGATACGTTTCTTGTATCATACCTAAGGCCGCTTCATGGCCAGATCCTTTAGAGATACTAGAACAAGCCTTTATGACACTCTTTGGCGACAATTTACTATCCGCCACTAATACCCTTAAATGGAGACACACACATCCATGGTGCCATGTTGCCTACGAATTTCATATCCCTTATTAATAAGATTTCTGGCAATTTATTTACTTATTGTATTTATTTATTTTCTAGCAAAAGTAGACTAACGGTTACATCCATTTTTCTTATTTCCTAGTTTTTAGCCATTTACATTGTTATTTATATAGATGTAATTGCTTTGTTTTGAATAGAGAAGAATTTGATAAGACTAATATCTCTTTCATGTCTTATTTATTTGGGAGATTAGCCATCTCAAATTGGCCTTACCTTGGAGATTGACCATCTAGAATCGGTCTTTATCAAATTATCACACCAAATGTGCACCCCTGCACCTCCAAGCTCAGTTAGTAATGAAGCTTTTCATTATTAATAATAATTACACCAAAACATGTTGATAACGCTAAAATCTTCAACAGATGATATGTGACATCTGATGCAACTGAAGAGCATTAATCGACTTATTTTCAATACTTTCATATGAAAAAGAGATCGAAGTCATGTAGTAATTATCTAGATAGTCCAGATATATTTCGATAATCAATCGAGGTAGTTTTATTATAATTAAAAAGAAAAGTACTCACAACGTGTTTGTGACTCATAGCTTTGGCATATACACTGAGAATGGTGTTGAAAATTTCTTGAAAGAAGCATTTTGCATTTGGTGTCAACGAGCCTGATAGTCAATCTCGTAACATATATCACATATAATAATTCAAATAGGGTTGTAAAAGATCTGAAACTAGGTAAAACTAAATGATGTTAGCATAAGTTGATAGATCGGGATGTTAAATGTTGAAGACTTCTTGGCTCAAGAATGATTCAAGCTTAATTGAAAAACATGAAATTACTCATAAGTATTTATTCAAACAATGTTTAGTAGACCACGCATAAATTAGAAGCTTAATGTACTCAAGTTAAATTCCACCAAAAACATTAATAGATACATAAATTCATCGGATTAAAAAAAACCTTCAAAAAATAAAATCCATATTTTGTTTGGAAACAACGTTTTTATAAAAAGAATCCTATCTAAAAGAAGAAAGGCAAGATAAAAGAAAAACAATAAAAAGTTTACAAATTATTAAACGGATAACAACACCAATCAGACAAATTACGAGAACCAAAACTACTCCTAAATTTAATCCAATTGAACACCGTGGTGAGAATGTGATATGTCGTTTTGTGAGTAGAGGGATGACTCTTGTTGAAAAGAGAATCATTACGCATCTTCCAAACATACCAAAAAGAAACCATATACATAGCAATGAGTATTTTTGTCTTCTTGGGACACCAACCCCAATTGGCAGTAAAATCAATAACTTGTTTCATCAAAAGAAAACTTAAGGGCACAATACCACACTAGTTGAGAAGCAAAGAGATCACCTCACTTGCAAAAGTGCAAGAAACAAGGAAGTGATATGTGGAGTCCAAACCGTTGAAAGAGAGGAGCCAGGCGCCGGAGGGGATTCTAACACCTCTTTGAATGAGGGTGAGGTTAGCTGAGATACGGTCGATGCAAACTCTCCAAACGAAACCGATGATTTTGGTGGGAACCAAATTAAACCATAAAAAAGTATGAAAGAAATTAAAGCAAACGATGTACCAAAAGGTACCATACTAGATTGGTTATAAAATACATTGTGTTGCCATACCATATTGATTCAAACTTTATGTACCAAAATGTAATTTCACAAGAAAGAAAAAATAAAGCAAACGATGAGTCCCTTAATTTTCTCACTCTAAAACCCCCTTTCTCTCTCTCTCTCTAGGATTCTTGTGAAAGCCAGCTGCCCTTTTCTCTTTCCTGCCCAGTTCTCTCTCCTTCCTACCCGTCCTTCTCTCTCTCCTGCCCGTTCTTTTTCTCTCTCCCTCTAAAAAATCATTTATAAATTGCACCCCTTTTCCATTTCAACCCCCAATATCGTTTCTCTCTCTAAATCTCTCTCTAAAAAGTCAGCGCCTTGGTTTCTCTCTCTAAAAACCTGCATAAAAGTCAAACAATGGAGGTTGATTGGGACTTGCATGCGGTGGTCAGAGCCTGTTGCTCCACCGCCGCCTCCTCCTCCGTCGCTTCAACCGCCACCACATCGACGGCCACCGCTGGAGCTCCAGCTTGGCCTGTGGATGCTTACAATCAACAAAAATCAAGTTTTCAAGATGAAAATTTCATGGGGTTTTTTCCAGATCCATTTCAAAGAAGAAATGACAACAGTATTGAACAGTTTTTGAATGATCTTAACAACCCCATAGACTTTCCAAAACTACAGAAACCACCTCTATCTCCACAGAGTTTGCCAATCTCACCTCTCTCGGTTCTTGGAGGATTACAAGATCCACCACTCCAACACCACCACCACCACCACCACCAGCAACAGCAACAGCAACAGCAACAGCAACAGCAACAACAGCCAAAACAACTTCAGGAAAAACAGCAATCTTTTGGTATATCTAGATGTACAACTTCTAATGCACAAAGTACAAGGTCAAAGAAAAGGTAATGAAAACATTTTCCGACGTATCCATCTCGTGTAAATTTTGGGTTTTTGTTAATTTTGTGATGTATAAATTACCCTTCAAGAGAATCAATTTTCAAAATTACAATTTTTGTGTAAATTGCAAACATTTTGTTCCGTATTTTCGGGATATATGACAGAAAAATACGAGATTTTGGGGGAATACCCACATGCAGTAATTAATTTTTTCATTTTTTTTAAATATTTGATAAATAAAAACTAATCTTTAACATTATTAATGGGTTATATGTATAACTTATTTCACAGGAAGAATCAGATGAAAAGGGTTTGTCAAGTCCCTGCTGAGGGATTATCCTCCGATATATGGTCTTGGAGAAAATATGGTCAAAAACCCATCAAAGGTTCTCCATATCCAAGGTTTGTAATTTTCTTATTTAATTACTATTTTATTTTAAATTTTAATTCTAGTTAGGGTGTGAAAACAGGGTTATAAGGTATATATTCGGTAAATTTTTATTATTTAATTCGGTGATTTATTGATGAAAGAGATTAAATTTTGTTAATTTGGATTAAACAGAGGATATTATAGATGTAGTACTTCAAAGGGTTGTTTGGCCCGAAAACAAGTGGAGCGAAATAGATCCGACCCGGATATGTTCATCGTCACCTACACCGGCGAACACAGCCACCCAGTTCCGACACACCGCAATTCTTTAGCGGGCAGCACCAGAAACAAACCCACCACTTCCGGCGACGAAGATAGTACCGCTAAAACCAACAAACAAACATCATCTCCGCCGGTATCTCCCCCCGCCAGCCAGTCTCCGACCACAGAAAAGGCGGAGGATAATGATACCGATGATGACACCTTTGATATCGTGATGGAGGACGACTTCTTTGAAGGATTAGACGAGCTTGTCGGTCCAGTTATTCCGGCGACATCAACGGCATCTCCACCTTTCCCATGGTTATCAAACAACGTCGCCACCACAAGCACCACCGCAGCCGGCGGTAGTTGACTTTTACGGTGTAGTGACGTTTGCATGATGACATGATATGCGTTTCTTCCTGCTGACTTTTCATAGTGTTTCTTTTTGTTCTCTTTTACTTTTTAGAGGAGAGAAAAAGAAGCGAGAGAGATAGTAAAAATAGGCCTTTGCCAAGATAATCTTTAAACCATTAAAGGGTTGTACCATATGCATTAACCTCTGTACATTGTGTTCGCATATGTCTTTTCTTTTTTTCTTTTAGGCAATTGGGTATCAAACCCTTTTGTGGCTTGAAGAATATTGTCCATTTACAATGAACTTTTGTACATGGTAGAAGAGTATAATTCTCCATTATAAAGAATGAAAGATTTTGATTGATTCCTTTATTTGAGAAGTATATATTATAATAATTTAGGTTATTTATTAATTATTCACGAATGTAATAATGATTTTGTATCTTACGTATTAATTAAGTTTGTATTTTATATTTTATATAATATGTAATGATTTAAACTTTTAATATTGCAAAATATGGAATTCTTATTCATAAATTTTGAAAAGACTAGTGATTTTCAATCCCTACATAAAAAGTACTCTCAATCGAGGCCTTATAGTTCTTGACCTCTTTATGGTGCACTCGTGCTATAGAAATGTAGTTTACTTGTTAAATTTGTATTTCACACCAGATTAATTCATATTCATTTCAGCATATTTGCTGTTTTTTTTAGTAATTAGCAAAACTTGATTATATTCTGTAGCTTATATATTATGTATTCTATATGATATATTAATGATTTATATAGTAAAGCTGTAAAAGACATGGCTTTTATCCATAAATGATAAATGTTTGAAAATTACTATTTTAAGTTTCTACTTAAAAGTACTATCCATCAAGGTCATATAGTCCATTGTGTCTTTGTTATGGCGCAATCGTGAAAATAACTTGTATTTTACGTATCGAAGTTGTAATTCAATTAGATTTAATCCACCCATCAACATTTTTACTTATTCTTGTAATAATAAGATGATAATTACATGACGAAAAAAATTAGAAAATAGATTAATATTAAATTACGTCAAGTATTGTACTGTTATTAGGAAGACAACACAAAATCGATTTAATATTTTTATTCATTCGAGTATTATTCAAGGGCGGGTATTAGTTGGAGCCCATAGTACCTCGTGCTACCCCTTAATTTATATATATATATATATATATATATATATATATATATATATATATATATATATATATATATATATATATATATATATATATATATATATATATATCGAAACAACCACATATTAAAATGATAGCAAGAAGCTAGATCAAAAACCAATTATAAAATATTAAACGGTTGTTAATAAGCCAACAAACCCATTTATAAGTATATTTTCTA